ACTGCCTATATGTTAGAGAAAGTACTGGCTGGGCAGTACGAGCGTAATTTATGTGTAAGTTACACTCGTAAATTATCTAAGTGTAAATTATGCAAGTATAACTCCATGTAGTTGTCATTGCACATGAGACTTTACTCTTGAAAGCTCAGCTGAAGTGAAAGCACTGCTATATAATTTTTTCCTGCATCACTTCAGAAAAAGCTTTAGAGTCCTATTGTCATGCTGCAATAAGCAACTAAGCTACAGGTTGTCCTCGACTTACAACCAGTTGCTTAGCAACAGTTCAAAGTTATGACTGGTTCCCCAGAGTTACTTGTAACATGGGTTCAAAATGATGGTAGCCACCCCCTGCTGGAAATTGGCATTTACTTCTGATTTCTGGGGGAAAAAAAACCTGCCCATTGCAGACAATGGATTTGTTTAACAACTGCTGCAAAGAAGGTGGTGACCTGCTTAATGATTGCCTAACTTACAACTATAATTCTGGGCTCTGTTGTGATCATAACTCAAGGGCTACCTCTATTCATTTTGGGCCCAATTGCAGCACATTCAGAAATCCAGCATAACTGGCTGAGGAATTCTGGGAGTTGAAGTCCAGACATAGTGAAAGTCCAACCTAGTGACATGACATGATAGCAGTGTTTCAATATTTGAGGAGCTGCACAAAAATGAAGAGATCAACCTATTATCTAAAGCACCAGAAGGCAAGACAAGAAGCAATGGATGGAAACTAATCAAGGAGGGAACCAACCTAGAACTGAGGAGGAATTTCCTGTTAGTGAGAACAACTAACCAGTGGAACAGCTTGTCTTCAGAAGTTGTGGGTGCTTCATCACTGGAGGCTTTTAAGAAGAGACTGGACAGCCACTTGTCTGAAACGGTATAGGGTATCCTGCTTGAGAAAGGGGTTGGACTGGAAGACCTCCAAGGTCCCTTTCTACTCTTGTTATTCTGTTACATCTTCACGTTCCCAAGGTTGAGAAACGTTGCTTTGCAGTGATGAAGCTCTTATAATCAGCATCAATCCCTCTTTTGGCTCCTGCAGATGATCTGTGCACCAGTCCTTAAAGGGGAAAAAAATAGCTTGGCAGTATCATAGGTCTATATTTTACTAAATACTTTGGCCACCTAACGAGAAGGAAGGACTCGCTGGAAAAGGGCCTAATCCTGGGAAAGACTGAGGGCAAAAGAAGGGGACGGCAGAGAATGAGGGGGCTGGATGGAGTCACTTGAAGCAGTCGGCGTGAGCTTTTTTTGTTTTTTGTAATTTTGTAATGTTTTTTTATATACTGTGCAATGAATCCATTCCATTTCAACCGTGTGCCGATTAGGTACAAATTTCATGTGCTTGCAATTCATGATTAATACTCTTCTTATCAATATAACAATATAATATTATCGTCTTCCCATATAAGTAATATCCAATACGTTTATTTCACAAACTCCTCTTAATGCTTTGCATATAAATCTAATCCATTTTAATTTGTTTTATTTTCTAACCATTGGTAAAACAAATCTCATACCATGTAATATTCAGATTTTTCTTTAATTTCCAATGTTAATCTATTCATTTCCGCACATTCAAATATTTTTTTCAATTACTTTTCCTTCTATCGGTATCTTGTCACTTTTCCAATTCTGAGCAAATACAATCCTAGCTGCTGTTAATACATGTATGATTAAATATGTTTTTTCGTTACTGCCCACCTGTCATTTCTCACTCTTTTCTCAACAGGGGCAACCTTATGTTTCTTGGTCCTGGTCTTCCTCTGTAAGCATTGTTGAGAACCTCTGTCTCACCTACTTTAGGTGATCCTACAATCACTGTTATAAATGTTGATAGCCTTTACTTTGCTACCAACATTCTAATGTATCCTGTGATCAAACAAATATCACAGAATAACAAAATAACAACATTGGAAGGGCCTTGGAGGACTTCTAGTCCAACACTCTGCACAAGCAGGAGATCCTACACCAGTGGTCTCAAACCTTTCCAGCTCAGCAGACCTGTGGAGATGGAAGTGGTGGAAGTGTTAGGGAGGCGTAGTAGAGGGGATGTTTTCACTTGTGCACTCATGGGAGCACTCACCACTTCCACGGCTCAGTTCTGAATGGGCTGCAACCTGACATTGGGCCTGCTCTATACCATTCTAGACAATTGGCTGTCCAGTCTCTTCTTAAAAGCCCCCAGTTATGGAGCACTCACAATTTCTGGAGACAAATCATTCCGCTGGTTAATTGTTCTCACTGTTAGAAAATATCTCCTTAGTTCTAGGTTGGTTCTCTCCTTGATTAGTTTCCACCCGTTGCTTCTTGTCCTGCCTTCAGGAGCTTTGGAGAATAGCTTGACTCCCCTTTCTTTGTGGCAGCCCCTGGGACCCCTGCTACCATGCCACCCTTAGTCCTTCTTTTCATCAAACTAGACATACCCAATTCCTATAAACATTTATAAATTTATTTGGAAATTTATGTAGATGATATGTTCTGGAAATGTATTAAAAAGTTGTAATGATTGTAGCAGTTTATTTATTTCCTTTTAAAGATAAAAAATGGTATGTTTATGACCTACTTGAAAATGCTTTTGAAAGACTGGATATTGGAAACAGTCCAAATTGGAAGTTCTGTACAAAAATTCAGTGAGAAATCTGTCTTTTCCACAGGTCTAAAATTGGTACAAAAAGTAATTGGGATGGAAATTATTTTCCTGTAAAATCTGTGCAACAGCTTCCAGTTAAAACAGCCTTATCCCCATCTCTAGTATGAGTAGAGAATCTTTCAGATGTTAAGCGTAACTACAAGCACACTGAATAGCATTATTGAAGGAGAATGCTAAACTATTATGTACGTGTATTTAACAAGTCATCTGCAACAACGTTCATCTGCAAGGCTTAAGAATTTGAGTACAATACTGGTCAAAAGTGCAGCAAAATCCATGAATTCAATAGAATGTATTCCAATGTAAATAAGTATAAGGTTGCAGCTTTAAGTATTTTCAAATCTTGTGGATTCTAACATGAATGGTAAGCCTATAGTTAAATACAGGTACATAAATGAACAGGATGAAGACATAGCATTCACGGAATAGAGTTTGAAAGCAGCTGTTAAAGATTTTTAAAATAGAATTTGAGGATGGAGAGTGTTTTTTTAAAAAGGCAGTCCCAGCCAGATACTTAGACTAGATTTGGCATTTTTATGCATCTATCAAGTCTGTCCCAAGGATCTGAAATAAGCATGAGATATTGTTCTTTTAGGGACACGGTGGCTTAGTGGCTAAGACGCTGCACTTGTCAATCAGAAAGGTCGGCAGTTCAGCCATTCAAATCCCTAGCACCACATAACAGAGTGAGCTCCTATTACTTGTCCCAGCTTCTGCCAACCTAGCAGTTTGAAGGCATGTAAAATGCAAGTAGACAAATAGGGACTACTTTGGTGGGAAGGTAACAGCATTCTGTCACCTTCGGCGTTTAGCTATGCCTGTCACATGACCACGGAGACGTCTTTGGACAGCGCTAACTCTTCGGCTTTGTAATGGAGGTGAGCACCACCCCACAGAGCCGGAAATGACTAGCACGTATGTGCGATAGGAACCTTTACCTTTTACCTTTATTGTTCTTTTATGGTGTTAAAAAATCTCCGCAGAATAACAGAATAACACAGCTGGAAGGGAAGTTGGAGGTCTTCTAATCCAACCCCTGCACAAACAGGAGACACTATACCATTCTGGACAAGTGGTTGTCCAATCTCTTCTTAAAAACTTCCAGTGTTGGAGCATTCACAACTTCTGAAGGCAAGTTGTTCCTCTGGTTTATTGTTATGACAGTCAGGAAATTTCTTCTTAGTTTTAGGTTGCTTCTCTCCTTGGTTAGTTTCCATCCATTGTTTCTTGTTTTGCCTTTTGGTGCTATGGAAAATAGCTTGACCCCTTCTTCTTTGTGGCAACCCCTCAAATATCAAAATACTGCTCTCATGTCACCCCTAGCCCTTCTTTTCATTAGAACAGACACACCCAATTACTGCAACCGTTCTTCATATGTTTTAGCCTCTAGCCCCCTAATCATCTAGTATAGCTGTCTTTTGCAGTTGACTGACAGTGATTTTATCAGTGCTGATGGTTTTCAGGTGGTGCTTCAGATGCTTTGGAATTACCCTAAGGATCCTGTCCCTATTGGTACTATCTTTGCTGTCTTTTGACACTGTCTTTCTACTTCTATTTGCAGCTCTTTGCAATTTTCTCCAGTTCTGCTACATCCCCTATCCACTATACTTTTGGGGGGTCTTCCTTCCTTGCCTAGGAATGCAGAACTGCCCAGAGTCACCAAGAATGTGTACAAAATTTAATTAGATTAGATTATTGAATAAGTAAATAAAAATAAACCGTTTCTCCAACCCTTCCAGGATTGCTGACCTTTGCTTGAAGAAATCCTTCCCAAGAGATGTTTGAAAGTCTTTTTCACAAGTCTTTTGTTTTTAAAAGCTGTAAAAAAAGGTAAGCTATTTCTTTTTCTTCTTTTAAAAATTTAATCCCCAGGCTTTGCTAAGAAGTACTCTTGATAACTGCTGTTGTTGTTTTATGTTTAAAGTATCTCCAACCATTGTCATTCTGAAATCTACAGGTTGTCCTCAACTTATTCCAGTCTCTTAACTGGAGTTAAGAATTGAAAGGGACCTTGAAGTCTTCTAGCCAAGCCCCCACTCAAGCAGGAAACCCCATCCTGTTTCAGACAAAATCTCTTCTTAAAAGCCTCCAGTGTTGGAGCACCCACAACTTTTGAAGGCAAGTTGTTCCACAGATTAATTGTTCTTACCATCAGGATATTCTTCCTTAGTTCTAAGTTGCTTCTCTCCTTGATTAATTTCCCTCCATTGCTTCTTGTCCTGCCTTCTGGTGCTTTGAAGAATAGGTTGACCTGCCTCTTCTTTGTGAAATCCCTTGGACCTACTTGGGGGACTTACAACCCACATTTTAAGTTTCAATGGTTGCTCCCACCATGGTTACATGTCTGCACTTTGGGTACTCATACACTGGACCACATTTTACAATGATTTTGCCAAAAAGCCAGCACTTGCAGCAAGATAAGTGGCAAACAAATTTAATAAATAATAATATTTGACTTCCAGGTTTGGGCAAAACTGGTCCATAGAGAACCACAAGTTTGCTTAATGATCATGGCATTTGTTTAATGACTGCCAGAAAAATGATGATAGTCATAAACTATATGATCCTCATGAGTCATGACCAGAATGGGCAGGCTCCATTACAGTTGTAAATCGAGAACAATCTGTTCCCCAAAGAGGTGGTTGTTTTTAATCGACATGCTCAAAGGGTTATATGTGCTCTATTGCAAAGCTAGACCACTGGGGAAAGTCAGAAATCCATCCAAGGAAATGAAATTGACAAATGTGCAAAAAAAACCACAAAAAACCCTAAGCAAAACTATCGCCATAGGGGCCTAATGTATACCTGAATGATGCAGTTGGGACGCTGCCAACATGAAACACCTTGGTAAACACAGCATGGTGGCAATACTTGTTATGGCTGGATATATTTATTGCATCAGAAAGCAGAGCAGGTGCTGGAGTTCCTGGAAGGCAACTTTCAATTCCCGCAATTGTCTTGGCGTTATTTCTTCATCTTATGCAACCTCTTTTCCCACTTTTTTTTTCTTTTTTAAGGAGGAATAAGAGCTAGCTCTGGCAATACAAAGTGAGAGCAGAGCTGCAAAATGCTGGATGGCCACTGGAGGGCAGAAAAGAACTATGGACGATTCTAACTCTCTGCTGCCATCTAATGCAATCCTCAAAAAAAAAAAAAAAGCCAATACAATCCTAAATAACATTAATAGAGTGATACAATCAAGATCAAGTGAGGTACTGACTCCATAAAGCCTTAGTAAGACCACACCGAGAGTACTGCATCCAGTTTTAGTCACCACACTATAAAAAAAGATACTCTAGAATAACTGAGACTCTAGAAAAAGTGCAGAGAAGAGCAACCAGGATGATTAGGGAACTGGAGACTAAAACATACAATGAATGGTTACAGGAATTGGGCATGGCTAGTCTAATGAAGAGAAGGACGGAGGAAACATGATAGCAGTATTCCAATATTTGAGGGGCTACCACAGAGAGGAGGGTGACAAGCTATTTTCCAAAGCACCTGAAGGCCAGAAAGGAACAATGGATGGAAACTGCTCAAGGAGAGATTCAACTCAGAAACAAGGAGGCATTTTCTGACAGTGAGAACAATCAAACCATGGAGCAGAAGTTGCTTTTGAAAATTGTGAGAGCTTCATCACTGTAGGCTTTCAAGAAGAGCTTGGACTGCCATTTGTCAGAAATGGTGTAGGATCTCTTGCTTGGGCCTACAAAGTCCCTTCCAACTCTGTTAATCTGCAATCTGTAAAGTCCAACCTGTTAAGAAGTATTTCCATCACAAATGGTTTGAGTCATGTTGAATTTGATATATATCCTGCCTTTATTATTTTTTTATAAATAACTCTAAGTGGCGAATGCCCCTAATTTTTCTTCCTCCTTCTATTTTCCCCACAATAACAAGAGGTAGGCCAGTATAGTTACTAGGAAATCCAATAAGTACAAAAATCCAAAGGATTGTGGGAACTTTCTCAAACTCTTTCTTGTCACATAGTGGTCACTTGGTTTTTAAACACTATATAGTGGAGTTCTAGTGGCAATGATGTGCAAACTTGGCTGGGCTTATTTCTCTCTCCCACTTCAACAACACAAGTTACAGAGTAACAGATAATAGGTTGAAAGGGACTTTGGAGGTCTTCTAGTCCAGGCCCCTGCTTGAGACCCTATACCATTTCAGACAAGTAGCTGTCCAGTCTTTCCTTAAAAGCCTCCAGTGTTGGAGCATTCACAATTTCTGGAGGCAAATTATTCCACTGATTAATTGTTCTCACTGTCAGGAAATTTCTCCTTATTTCTAGGTTGCTTCTCTCCTTGATTCGTTTTCATCCATTGTTTCTTGTCCTGCCCTCAGGTGCTTTGGAGAACAGCTTGACTTCCTCTTCTTTGTGGCAGCCCCTGAGATATTGGAACACTGCTATTATCTCACCCCTAGTCCTTCTTTTAATTGAACTGCAACAATTCTTTGTATGTTTTAGCCCCCAGACCCAGAGGTCTTTAAGATTGACCCCCTATGGATAACAGGCAAGCTTCCAAGAACCAACCATAGTATTGGATCCTCTTCTTTGAGGATGGATAGAAGGTTTCAGCTTTATGTTGTCCTCCAACCTCTGGCTCTTTATAAAGTTCAAAAACCCCTGTTCACCCAATGCTAGTGTGTAACTATGCAAGGCAATAGGATTCTTCAGTTAACAAGGAAGAAAGAGGCAACAAGAAAAAGGAATTATAAGGCAAGCAAATATGATTTGCTTCATCATTTGGTTTCTGGTAGTTAGTTGATTTTGTATGGAGAAGAATGATAAAGGTGTCTCAATGAAAGATAGATGATTGACAGATGTTAGATAGATAAGAGATGATTAACAGATCATATAAAGATGGAGGAGGAAAAGGAGGAGGAGGAGACGAAAGATAGATAGATAGATAGATAGATAGATAGATAGATAGATAGATAGACAGACAGACAGACAGACAGACAGACAGACAGACAGACAGAGATAGATAGATAGATAGATAGATAGATAGATAGATAGATAGATAGATAATAAACAGATGAAGATGAAATTAGTGCTGACTCTCTTCTGACCATGTAAGTGATTCTTCTCCAAGACAAACAGTGTACTGTATGTGTATAAACACATATCATATTTTATTAAAGTAAAACAATGCAGTACTGTTACAATGCCTGTGAAAAAATAATACAAAGATACAAATGTCAAGACTTAATACATTTCAAATACTGCTAAATCATATAATTTAAATTATCAGAACTTTTCCAAAAAGGCCACATTTAATCATTAAGACCTAAAAAGAAAAAAAATATGAAAATATATAACAACAGAACATCTCAAAAGAATTTGACCATTTGTGTAAAAATGATTTTCCCTACCCATCTGTCAAAAGAGAGCAAGCCCTTATTTTGAGAAAAAACATACATCAAAAATTCCCTTCTTTGTGATTCTTCCAATATTGTATCATTATTTTGCTTTTCCCTATGCACAAAGTATCATCCTCAGACATTATGTTTTTTTGTTGCTTTAGAGTTGTATGTACTGAGTGAAAGGGAAGCAAGTAAATGTGTGTGTGTGTGTGTCTGTATAATGCAATTTTACTGAATTACAGGTCAGTGTTTTCTGTTTTATTGAGTTCCTCTTCTTATTACTATGCTGCTGGTTCTTATGAAATTTTCCAGAGATATTTTCTTTATGCACACAATGTGCTTATATTAAAGGAAACATCAAAGCTATCAGCTGGACAGAGGTAGAGGTTAAGTGTTGGACTAGTTTGGGAGAGAATCTAAGTAAAAAAAACCTATCTGAATCTGGAATGATTTCAACCAAGAGCTACCCTTCAACCCAACTCCTTTTACATAGTCATTTTGCAAGGACAAGAGAGCAGAGAACTAAGCACGCCTCCGTAAAGTCTTTGGAGAGTGGCCGGGATGCAAATGCAATCATAAATAAATAAAAGTGAAATATTGATGTTGAGAAATGAACCTGGAAGAAGCCATCTATATATGTGTGTACATATTTCTGCTAATGAAAATGAATGGAGCAGCTCATTATTCTTCTCTACAAGTCATGTTACATTGTTCAAAATTCCAATGATGGCTTAATTGATCAGGAGCCATCTGTATCATGCAAATATTTAAACCTCATGAATTCGTATGATGTGGGCTGGGCTGTCACAAAGAAAAGGGGGTCAACCTATTCTCCAAAGCCCCTGAAAGCTGGAGAAGAAGCAATGGATGGAAACTAATCAAGGAGAGAACCAACCTAGAGCTAAAGAGAAATGTCTTGACAGTGGGAGCAATTAACCAGTGCCTCCAGAGGTCGTGAATGCTCCAACACTGGAGGTTTCTAAATAATGGATCACCAATGGTCTATATAGGATGTCCTGCTTGAGCTGGGAATTGGACCAGAAGACCTTAGAAGTCCCTTCCAACTCTGTTATTCTGTTAAATAAAGATGTGTTTGCAATCCACGATATATGAGCCATGTTCCTTAGCCCAGCCCTTTGTGAAACCGATGTTGAATGAGTGGGTTTTCCTGTTCTAGAAATACATGCTCCACATTTCAGGTGTTTGACTTCAGTCCAGGAGATGAGCTTCTGGACATGCAATGAAAGGCTTTGCTAAAGGTTCCCATTTTTATCTATTCATGAACTCGGAAGAATGAAAGAGATCCCAAATAGGTTCTAAGTGATACAAGTTTCAACAAGTTTCAACAAGTGAGGGAAAGGAGAACATCAGCCTCCCAAGATCTGTTTCCTAACAATGGAAAACACCAATGGCATCCTACATGGTTTGGCTTTAAACTATGACTCTTTGAATAAGCTACAGGGACTACAGCAGCCCTAGCCACAAACCCAATTTGGAAAGTTCAGTGGTTGGGTTTATGAACCACAATTAAACCACATAGTGGTGATAAATCCAATATTGGCTTGAGCTTTCTTTTCTGGAAGCATTCCAAGAGAGAGACTGTACAGTATGTTCAGAGGTCTCACCATTGTGGTTTGTTTTTGTGAACAATGTCAATACGGTCCGAAGAACATTGCCACAGGTCTAAGGACCTGACCACAGAGCGATGGCGACTTCTGATCATCTGACTGAGAACAGCAAAAGACACAATCACTTTGAAACATGTGACTTAAAGTGCAAACGTCTGTACTCTCTAGGACTTGGGTGTGCCCACATTTTGCTGGATTTTCAGAAAGGGGATACTCAAATGCTTCCTGGGTTTGTGGTTTACTTCAACTCATGGGCTTGTAGCCAGCACAGAAAGATCCCATCTAAACGGAAATGCTTTGTTTGTGGTACGGTTCACTCCCGTGTGAGAAAGATAAAGGTATTTGCACAAGAACAAG